TCGAACTGGACGAACAGACGCCGAGCTATGTCAAGGGCCGACTTGAGTCTAACCCTTTTTGCCGGCTTTGATGTGCTCGACACCTTGACAAAAGCCGTCCAAAAATGTCGAGTGTCAAAAGCAGCTGCCGTCTCATGCCAGGCACCCTCCCGCCCCTTCATCGACACCCATAATATGTGATACTCGCGCCTGGGACGGTGCTATAAAAAGCTTCGAATCACGTCATTCGAATGTCAACATTTATGTATATCCTCCACTTTTTGCTCTTCTACTTTTTTAAAATTTTTTTTTTTTTTTTTTTTTTTTTGAATCATTCACTTAACTTGGGTGTCAGTCCATTCAAAGTTCGACACATGTTAGCGCTGTGGTAGAGCATGCTAGACTAGCAGCTACCCTGTGTAACCTACAGTTGACTCTTGTTTATTCCCTATTGAAGCATATGGTATTTTAAAAATCTTTTATTTTTCAAAAATATTTTAGCAAAGTTCTCTTGAGGGCAGCTAGAGGTCTGGTCTCTTATATTTCATCAACACTTTTGTTAAGATAATAATGAGAATTTTCTGATTCTGCTCTAGCTAGATTTTGAGTTCGTTGGGATGATATTGATGAACAATTCAATATGAAAGAAAAGAAGAAATAGATTCCGCTCTAGTTCGATCAGCTGATGTGTCCCAACGAACTCATATTGAATATAATATTGCTGAACAAATTAATACATAAGAAATTTCTAGATTCTTTAACAATTCTTCAATAAGTATTGAAAATATTATACGCAAACATTAGTCTTCCGAGTCTCATTTAGCTCGTACATAATTGTTCAATAAATTTCCAGATATTTCCAGATATCAATAGGAAAATTCAGTCAAATATGATTTAGTGCTATTCCATACAAATTGTGCTATTAACTAATCATTGTTCTTAACTAATCCAGCATTATGATCTGGATCTGAATTACTATTATTCAACTGAAGCCTCAACTAACTGTTTCCTTGCAGCAAGCACTTCTACGTATTCCATAGACTCCACTTCCATTTAAATATAGACAAAAGACTTTTTAGCTATTCATATTGCCTGACTTGCCCGCTCTCGCTGTCTGTCCGTCCGTTTCACTGGGTCCGTGTCTGTCTGATTGTTCCGTCTAATTTGTGAGTGCCTGTATCTCTTTCGTAGCTCCATTGCTATCGACTTGTCTATCTGACTCGCCTGTCTGTCGCGCCACGCCCCGACCGCCGACCGCCCTCGCCTTGCTACGCTATGCCTTGCAGTCATGTGTCAAACTCTTGATGTCAACTTCTGACATAATATTGACAGCTAAACAAATCCAATTATGCCCAACTCCTGCAGCAGACACGAAGCGGTTCAAGTGTGAGAGACTCTCGTAGCTTTTTGGGCTTCTAACTTTCGGAATATGCTAAATGTTGGCTATGTTTGCTTTAGCAATGTGTGTGGTTGTTTGCATGTGAGTGTGTGTGTGTGCTTTCGAGCGCTTTAAACGTTTTCCCAGTGCTGACCAGTGGAGCAACTGCTACGATATTTCAATATTCCGATAGGCTGCCTGCTGCCTGCTGCCTGCTGATTGTTGTTGTTCTTGTTCCTCCACAGATGTTGCTGCCGTTGCTGTTGTTGCTTTTGCTGTTGTGGCGCCAGTAAATTGCGTAGGTGTGCAATTGAATTATTGCAGTCAATGCACACATTCACACTGCCCTGCCCCCTCTCCCCCTTTCAGCTTCTCCTGGTCAGCCGCCGTCGCCTGCTATCATAAATATGAAATTTTGAGCCTACGCAGTAATGCAGGCGGCACAGCCTGCATATTATCCACAGCTATCCCTTCCCTTTTCACCCCCCTTTCTCTTTGCCTGCTGCCTGCTGCCTGCCGCCTGCTGTGCTGGCCAAACTCTCAGGGACTGTGCCAACAACCATTTTACGGTTTTGTTTTTGGGGCATTGAATGCAAATATTGGCATAAATTTCGGCTGTTGTGGTTGGCAGCAAGTCTCTTCTTCTGCCTCGCTCTATCTCTCTCTCTCTCTCTCTCTCTTTCGCTCACTGCGTGTGTGTCGCACAGCATCCGATTCAGCTTGAGTATAGCCAAATTTCATTTGGCTTTTGCCACAAACACACACACTCACACATACACACACACACAGACACACACTTCTGCCTGACTGCATTGTTTGCCCTCGGACAGAATGTAGTTGGATTTCGGATTTTGGATTTCAGATTCTGAATTTGGCAATTGGAAAGTTGGTTGTGCCGCTCGTTTCGGCCAGCAAATCGCATTTTGTGTTAACAAATTTGTTCGATAAAGGTCAAAATGTGCTTGGAATTGCTAAAGGAATTTTCAAACTAAAATTCTAGAAAATTGAATGGGAGGAGTCCTTGGAAATCAGTACACTTATGCTTGACAAAGTGAATAGCAGTAAAAGCCTTCAGCATCTGAAAAGTAGTACCATGAAATCCGTCTCTTTTCTCCATAGTCTAGGCTCAGATATATTCTGTAGATATTTTTGCAGGCATTCTTAAAGCTGCAAGCTCATAAAAACTTTGGCTGTTAAAAGGCTGGGCGAATCTAAAGATTTCAATAGCCAAGTCGGCCAATAATTATAAGAATGTTTAACTTTAACTTGCTGGCCAACTGTCACTTGGCCCCGCCTCCTGCTGGCCGTCGGCCTATCCACGTGGCTGCTGATTTATGTGTTTGTTTTTGGTTTTTGGCCGCCTGCGGCACATTTATCAGCGCAACAACAAAGCAACTGACAACAACAACAACAACAACAACAACAGCAGCAGCAGGAGCAGCAACAACGGCAAGCAAAACAAAACAAACAACGGGCCCAGCAAATGACAGATCAGCCTCAGCAGCGGGCCCAGCGACCAAGTCCTTGGCGAGTTTATTTAGGCAGCCGCAACTATTTGAATTCCTCTGCGAAAAGCACTCAAGAAGAGTTCGCAGCCAATTGGAATTCAATACGCTTGGCATTTCGTGGCGTTTCGGTTCAAAGTTCAATTAAGTGAACATTTGTGCTCAGGGGTAGCGAGAGTGTGAGGAGCATTCATTGTTAACCCTTTGATTGCTATTTAGGGCAAACATATAAATTTGCACAGCTAGAACATGGCTGCGGGCAACGCCCAGCTCGAAATTCGAAACGCCTCCTGCCAAAAAGTGGAGGCAGTTGCCTATTTCTTCTTCTCCTACTGCTGCTCCTGCTGCTACCCCTAACCCAAATCAATAAATTAAACGCGCCTTTAAATATATTTCTCTGTCTGTTTAGCCATATCTCTCATTCACTCTCTCTCATTCTCTCTCTTTCTCTCTCTCAAATTTTGGTTGTGCCGTAAATCGTTTGCACGGGAAATTGGCAAAAACATCAAAAAACTTTTCTTGGCCCGCAAAACTATGCTTCGGCGAATGTTTGGCTGCTGCCTAAAACTATGCTAATTTCCGAGTATTTTTGTGTTCTGTTTGCCTCAATGTTGTCCTTGCCCGTTACACATGTCCCACGATCCTAAGTAAACCAATTTGTTATTTGTCTTTGAGTGTGTGTGTGCGAGCCTCGAAAATTCCATTAAAATGGCATAAATTACAAACTCGATTTACAGCTGTAGCGGCGCGACTCTCGGGGCGGATGGGAGGTGACAACGCACTTAAATACATTTTAATTAGCTGCCAAGGCAATCGGCAGGACACTCACTCGCCCACATTCATTCACCCACATTCATTCACCCACACTCATTCACCCACACAGACAGCCAGCTCAATGGCGCTTTTGATTCTCGCCTCAAAGTGCGCTACAGTCTCGACATTTTCGTTGCCTTTGCTTTCCGCTGTTCCTTCATTTTCCGCATTTCATTTGCACAAAAGCTACTTAGACACGATTTTGCCCCGGTCCAGCAACTACAACAACTACAGCAACAACAACAATGGTCATTGGTTTTGSTTCATGGCAAAATGATGAAAGGCATTTGGCTCTGATGTTTAGTTGCAAAACAATTAAGCTGAAAGCAAAGCTGTGTAGTCAAGTGTGTGTGGGTGTATGTGTGTGTGTGTAGGTGTGTGTAGGTGTGTGTATTGGTGTGTGTGTAAAGTGAAATGAAATGAGATGAAATGAAATGAAATCGCTCTGAAGAAGATCAAATCAAAGTGATTCAGAATAGACGACTGCTGAACACACTTTCCCAATTCTTCTGTTTGCTATATATAATAATATCATTCGAATATATTAATATGTTAACAACACAGAGTATAAGCCAAAAAACATTAAAATTAAACTTTTGCATAAATAAATTCCTTGCAATATTTACAGATATTTATGCTTTTGTAATTTTCTGGAAATACCTTATTATTGAAATATTTTGATTCAATTTTGATTTGATTTAATCAAGTGTAGACGAATGCAAATACTTGGCAGAAATTCTGAAAATTTAGCTGGTGTGATATAATATACATAAATAAGGGCTAAGTAGCTGCATTATAATAAGCTGGGTAAGTAATCAAAAATCTTTATTTTTAGCCAAACGATTTTAATTCAATTGATTTAGCTTAAAAGCCAAAAGCCCAGAGGTTTTAATTCAGGTTGTATTCAGTCTATTACTAATCCAGATTCGCTTGAGGTTGATTTCAGCGAATTTTTTATATATTGGTATAAGTTATATATTTTATACTTTACACTTTGCTATTAACAAAAATGCAAATCATATGATATATACCATACAGGCGTACAAGAATATGTATGACAGACAGACAGATGTGCTAGGAGGACTCAATGAAGTAGCTGAAAGGAATCTTCCATTGAATAAAATGAGTTAGGGGAGTTGTTAGAGCTTTCTTTTCGAAGCATTGCAAATCTATAGAGCCTAATACATGAGTAGATAGTGTATACTATATATAATAGTATCTACTATACATTTATATAGGATATAGTAATGAAAAATAAATCAAAGTTGGTATATTTCATGGACTTAGCTATTCAATTAGTTTGAATTGCAATACGAGCCAAATACTCTGTTTACCCAAAGCTGTCACATAGCTTCCCACTAGTTGAATATGCCCTCTAACCTACTTGCTGTTTTTCCCGATAGGGTATGGATGGCGTAAATGTTTCGTCATTGACAAATGTGAAGTGCGTTGGAGCGATGTTTCGACATTAGCATTAATAGTGTGGCATTAATTTCAAGGCGCAATATAGAAGTACACATTTCTATGTAGATGTATGGCATTTCCATGTGTATTTAGAGGGACGCAATTATAACTACAGACCGCCGTCAACGTGTGTGCGTGTGCGTGTGCGTGCGTGCTGGTGTGCGTGTGTGTGTGCGGATGGGCTTTAAAGAGCACATAAACACATTACCACATTACGTATACAACGGGGCTGTCAGGCCCCAGGCTCCATTAAATCCACTTGACAACGACTTGAGGTAATGTTTGCATATGCCAGGATCCTAGCTACGCTCTGTGCCACGCCCCGCCCACCCTGCGTCCCCTCACACAGTTTGCATAAATAATTCATTTGAAAGGACGCTTTTAGGTTCGCAAAACTGTTGTAGACAAAACTGCTTAAATATGCATAATTACCTGAGACATCTGGGGTGCTGCCACGCCCCGCTCTAAAGCGAAAAAGAGAGACAGAGCGAGAGTAGCCAAGTTTTCTGAAGTCTCAAGTCAAGTCAAGTCTGACGWGCTCGTGCCGGAAGTGTGTGCTAGAGAACGCATGCCGTCTTTCGTGTTTCGTCCTTCGTCCTTCATCCTGCATCCTGCGTGCCGGGTCCCGGGTCCCGTGTCCCGTGTCCCGTCTCCTTTGCCCCGGGCACTTGGCATAAAATTTTGGCCTCTGCAAAAGCAAACAAGCATCAACAACAGTTAGAGTCAAGCGGGAAAACGAGCGTATTTTCCTTCGCCGCAATTTACACAATTTCCACAATTGCCACAAAATTGCCGCACATTAAAATAATAAAAATTGTTTACAAAATATTTAACTAATTGGGCCGTACTCTAGCTCGCTCGTTCGGGGCCAATCAAAGTCTGTTCAAATAGTCAAAGAGTCAACAGCAAAAAATGTCAAAAAATATTAAAAAATATTGCCAGGTGCTGACACGCAACCTTGAGGCGAGGCGTGGTAGAGCTGGTGGCCAGCCCCGCCCTCGCACTGGCCCTCGTCAGCACGTTCCACATTCCGCTTCCGTTCGGCCATAAATATAATTACAATAATAAAGGAAATATTTACAACAATTGTAAATATCTCGACTCGACTCAACTGCGGCTTTCAACACGCACGGCCCCAAATTAATAAACTCCAATTGGCAACGCCTCAAACCCTCAAACCCTCTAGTCTCTAGCCACCCTCCCCCTACTCCTCCTCCTGTAGGACTAACGGCCTGATTGCCGGAGCCAGCGCTTCCTGATGAGCGTGTGAGCTCATAAAGATTTCCTGGCCCTCTGGGCTGCAGCCCGTGCGTGCGGCAAGTGACACAGAGCAGGCGAGTTAATCGCAGGCTTGACTTGCTAATACCCTATACTATCTATAAACTGCAAGCTAACCTTGATTCCATACACACTCTCGGGCAACTAAAGATATTCAGTTGCATTCAATGAATAACTTGGGGAAAACGATATTTGATATTCGAATTAATTCAAGGCTAAAGAATTGAGCAGTTCACTTTTAATGATGGTCTTAGCAATAGTCGATATACATTTAATCGGTTTGCAGGGTATCTGAGCGTAAGGCGTGGCGCTTAGTGACACTTGCCCGCCCTTCGCCCCCTCCTCGGGAGCTACTTAATAGAACTTTTACGTTTAACTGTAACTCGGACTCGGAGTCGCTGGCTGCTATCTGATTACAGTCGCACGCCATAATGTCATCATAAATTGTAGTTAGCCGGGTTAAGGACCAGGCTCAGACAGTGGCTCTGATGGCCGGCACTGTATGCCAGCCAGTTGAGCCACTGCGGCTTTGTGCCAGGTTGAAAAGCGTGGCGCATAGAGAATTGTGTTTAACATGCGGCACTTGAGCGAAATGAAATTTATGATTAAACCAAAGCCCTTGCCCCCTGGACACGCCACGTAGTCAAAGGTAAGCGCTCCAGCTCTAGCTCCAGCTCAAGCTCTAGCTCTAGCTCTCGCTATAACTGTCCAACTGTGCTCAGGGCCGTATGCTAAAGAGATCTGTGTGTGTGTGCGTGTGTTGGAGGGGGGCAGCTAGGGGGCAACGGGGCATATGCCATGGAGCATGGAGCATGGGCACTCGCACAATGGCGGCCGTTTACCGCAGGCCAAAATGCCACACTTAAGTGAATTACAAAAGCAGCTTGTCGAGCACTGGCAGCGGGCAGCGGGCAGCGGGCTGAGGGCAGGCGGGGCAGCGCGGGGCAGTCAGCGTGTGGTATGCGGCACGCGGGCTGAAAGTCAGCCAGTCAACGCGTTGACAGCCACAACAAGCGGCTTAATCGCATTAGAGCCCCTCGCCAGCCCCAGCCACAGCCACAGCCCCAGCCCCAGCGACGCAGGAGCCAGAGCCTGGGCCAGGCCCTTGAAGTGCCGACGGACGAGCAGCCGAGCGACCGGCAACGATTTTCCAAGAGAGCCAAGTGCGGCAAACTGATTGTGTGGCGCCACACAGCACATAGAGTCACTAGTGGGCGTGGCATCTTACACCCCCCAGCCACCCACTGGGCTAGCAGAGGCGCTAAGCTGCGCATTGTGCGCGCCAACAACAGCGACAACGCCAACGCCAGCGCCACTATTTATATAAAGAAAAGCCAGTCGAGCAGCTCCTGTGGGGACAGACAGCGGCAGGGGTAGGGGCTGGGGCTGGGAACCAGCCATGGAAACTATAGCAGGACGTGGCCGTGGTGCCAGGTCGCCTGGGCAATTGCTCTGCCACACAAAAGTTCACAGGCGGCAGGCAAAAATATATGAATAAAAATAAAAAACAAAAAAAGTGGCAAGAAATGTTTGTGGAGTTTGCCCAACTATGAGTTACCCTTTCTTTATAAAATTGCAGTTGCTTATAAGATATATTAAAATTTACATTACTCTCATAAATATTTCACATAAATAACTTAAGCTGTACAATTTTTATGTACACCTTGTTTATATGTTAAGGATTAGCTCCATTTACATTGAAGTATAATATAGTAAACCTTTATTACAATATAACCACTATGAAGTAATTTATTCCATGATTTCGCTTTTGTCTTTTCTATAAGCATTTGCCAAGTCAACTATATGCTCCTTTTTAAATTACAAGGTATACACAAAAAAGGGATTTTCATATTGCACACAAAAAATGTAATTTTTCGACAAAAACGTAAAAAAAAAAACGCAATTAATCTACGACAGAGCTCAAAGGACTCAAGCAAGGACAGGCAAACATTCACAGTCGCAGTCACAGTCACAGTCACAATCACAGTCAGATTCGCAGTCACAGTCGCAGAGTCTGGCAACGCTGGCAGCTGCGTTGGAGAGAGCACAGAGTGCGCTTATACCCTGCTTCCTGTCCAGCAAATCCAATAACTTATCTTGATTTTATGGTTATTCCAACAAAGGCCGGAAGTTGTAGGTGCAGCAAAGACGACAGCGCACCCAAAAAAGGCAACACGAAGGCAGGCAGGAGCGCAGCAGGCGGAGCATGGCTGGCACTCAAAAACATTGTGTAGTTATTCCTCGCCTCCCCAGACCCACCGCCCGCACGCCTTTGCGGAATGTGTTTTTGCATTTGACATGCCATTGTGTTTGTCCACAGGGTTAGAGGGGGGGGCTGAGCATTTAAGTTTGCTTGTCTGCTGTCCGTTACAATTCAATGTGTGTGTGAGTGTGTGTGAGTGTGCGTGGGTGTATATGTGTGTGCAATTGACATATGGTTTCTTTAGAGTATTCGTTTGTCTATTCCCACCCTACCTCTGTCGCTCCCCTCTGTCTATCTCTGTCTCTCTCACACTCCACCACTCTCAGTGCTTTGTAAATTTTGCATGAAATATTTTATTTGAAATGTCCTACATAGTATTGCAGAGTCCTGCCACTTGTTTCTATTCCCACAGTTGCTGCAGCTGATGGGCATTTATTGATGCAGCTCAACCCTCGCCTCCTGCCCCGGCGAGCAGAAGTCAAGCAGTTTGTAAGCTGACATTATCAAGATTAATTGAGGCTTCCTATATATTGCAGTATTTGAATATATAGAAATGGTATTCATGCGACAGTTACAAGGCGCTGAGCCAGGTATTTCCGTGTGCATTTGCATTTGACATTTATGAGCCGCATAAATCTTGCGACAACATCGGCTTTTCGACTAATTGATTAACAAATTGCACACAACATCGCAGCTTCTACTCGCTTGCCGAATGTGCGAGAGCTTTACAGCTTGTAGAAGTAAGACAAAACATTTCAATAAATATTTAAATTTAATAATCAAATTATGTTGCAGCAATTACGAGAAAAGTAAATGAAAAACTGCGGGGAGTGCGAGCGCGCGAGCGCCCCAAGCACAGTCGAGAAAAATCAAATTGGGCAAAGCTGCTCCTGCTGCTCCTGCTACCCCTGCTGCTCCTACTGCTGGGGTACGAAAAGTTTTTGCCAGATTGGCATGCTGGAAATTTTTAGACGCACCCGCAGGAGAGCAGCTGCCAAGTGCAGGGCAGAAAAAATAGCCGAGGAGCAGATGAAAAGTAAAAGGCGAAGCTAGATAGAAAGTGTGGCAGAAGGCAGAAGGCAGAAGGCAGAAGGCGGAAGGCAGATGGCACAGACAATGATAATGATATTTTCCTTATTCCAGCAGGAGGGATGCTCCAAATTTATGCGCCAATGCTTTTTCTGCTTTTCGACCATATTACATATTCATTAAATTGCAGCGAGCGGAGGCTGCCTGCCAATCTCGGTTGAAACGCTCTCAGTAGGCAGCTCAACTCAAGCATCAATGGCAATGCCATCTCCCTTTCCCTACCCCTCTGTCACTCTATATCTCAGCTGGTATCTAGTTTCATCTAATTGGTAATCATCGCGGCGCACAGCATCCGCAGCGGCATTAAGAAATCACTGAAATAATGTTGAAATTGAGCTCAAAACTCGTTTGTTCCAAACTGTAGCGGACTGCGTCGAAACTGAGACAATGACGCAATTTGATATTCGCTCATTGCACAAATATATATAAGCATATATACTTGTATAAGTTATGTATATATTGCATATTATACAATATATTGTTTAAGAGTCTCTGAGGCAATGACATCAGTGAATTGCATCATGCGCAGAAAATTTGGAGACATTAGAATATCGAACATGCACTCAATAGCTTCTCATCAAAATCAAAACACAAACAATAATGATGATACTACTTTTGTTTGACTTTGCTTAAGTTAATATTTATATGAGCTTGCAGGTTGATAATATTCCAAACTTAAGAGCTGAGCTGATTTACAAATAAAGTAATTTTAATTAGACCTGGAGAAAAGAACAAGTGAAGCTCATTCAAAATTCTAAAATGAAAAGTGAAGTTAGACAGTTGAAATAATAAGATATAAAGTCAATTTAAGAGACTCTAATAAAAATCATAAAACATCTGTAAAAAGACACTTAAGGTAAATAAATTCAAATAAACTCCAATTAATATTGAAGTGAAGTCAAAAAAACTAATTATTTGTTTTTCTATCAAATAATTTTAACAACTATATTTAGCTAATTTATGTTTAAATAATTAGCTATCTAGCTGATTATTCTCTATATTAATTGACATAGAGAATAAACACATAAATAAATAATTATTTTTGCATAAACTGTGCTGCTAAAACTGTGCTGCTCACTCGTGGCATTTAATCCTTCTTAGATGCCGTCATAGTTTTG